TGGATGAAAATTTTATCAACTGGGGATGTGAACTATTCCTTTTTACATGGGAACTTGCATGAGAAAGTTTATATGCATGCTCCTTAACGTTTAGAGGTACACACTCCAGGTTTGTCTGTAGCTTGAGAAAATTCCTTTATGGTTTATAGCAAGCCAAACGACAATGGTATGACAAGCTCATTGAGGCATTATATTCAAGAGGTTTTGTGCATTTAGTTGAGGACTATTATCTTTTCAATTAGAATACTGCTATATTATTGGTATTTTTAGTTGTGTATGTAGATGACATAGTCCTAACTGGAGCAAACCTCAATGAAATCAACAATCTAAATTTTTTTACACACTACTTTCAAGATCAAAGACTTAGGTCTGCTACATTATTTCCTTGGTTTTGAGTTACTATTCCGAGAAGATGGTATGATAATCTTCCAGAGGAAATTCACCAAATAGTTACTGAAAGAATTTGATTCCTTGTCATATATTGTAGTAGCAACACTATTGGAGTGTAATCTCAAGCTGCATCCATCTGATGATACTCTCCTAGATAACCCCACTTACTATAGAAAATTGGTAGGTAAACTCAATTTCCTTACCAACACCAGATTGGACATAGCATATATAGTGTGCAAGACTTGAGCCAATTCATGCAAACCCTAGAGAACCTCATCTTAAGGTTGCAATGCATGTTCTCATGTATATGAAAGTTGACCCTACATCATGTGAAAGTTCCTTGATTTACCCTTAGAGCTTACTGTGATTCAGATCGGTACATCTTTCCCAGACTCCAAAAAATCCATCAGTGGTTATATTGTGATGCTTGGAAACAGTCCAATGAGTTGAAAATATAAGAAGCAAGCTATTGTTTCCCTTTCCTATGCTGAAGCAGAATATAGAGCTATCAGAATGGTTGTGGGAAAAATTATTTGGCTTAGAAGGATCCTAGAAGAGTTTGATGTTCCTTGTACTTCACCTATCCCTGTGTATTGTGATAGCGAAACAGCAATCCACATAGCTAGAAACCCTTTATTCCATGAGTGTACAAAGCATAGAAGTGGATTGTCACTTCGTGAAAAACAATTTGCAGGATGGCACCATTATTCTTCATCATGTTCTAACCAATGAACAACTTGTTGATGTTTTCACCAAATCATTAACAGGAGTTAAACACATTGCCATATTAAACAAGGTGGCAGTGAATTCTTCGCCTCCAATTGAGGGGGCGTGTTAAGATTAATTGCTTGTTTAGTCCATTATATTAGTTTTGTAACTAACTTTGTACAGTCTGTCATTAGCTGTATTTAATTCAATAATGTAGTAGTTGGTTAGATTCCCTTTTTTCTTCTATTGTTCCGTTAGTTAGTTATATCAGTACTATTCCTATATATCGCTTAGGCATTAATCTTTCTCTTCAATTTTCACTAATACAAAATCAGAAATTATTTTTTTTCCAGCTTGCTCTTTCTCTTATCTCTCTCTCCAAGCTTCAATGGCAGCTTGGATTTGTGGATCTACACAGTAAATTTTATCACCTACACCATCCTTCCTACATGATCAGAGGCAGACCTAGAGATAGTCGAGGGGGTTCACCCGAACTCTCTTGGCAAAAACTCACATTGTATACATAAGGTATTTTAATTTTTTTTTTATAACGATATTGATTTTGAACCTTCTAAGGTTGACTAGTGATTGAAAGGTTCAAAACTCACTTTGATGATTCAAGTTGGAATCTTAGACATTTAAAAAAAAAAAGTCGAACCCCATTAATAGAAATCTTGAATTTGTCATTGTGGATATTGATTCGCTAGATTGCATGTAGATGCTTCTAGGATAGTGTTTTCTTACTTACTTATCAAACATTAGGTAATGAGTGATACATTTATTTAATTTCCAACAAAACATTTTTTGAAAAAACATACAACACAATTATAAGAGACCATAGTTAATCAATTGTGTCATTTAATTGTTACTACATACTAAATGTGTATGTTAAATTGGTATTAGCATTTTTTTGTAAATGTCCCTAAAATTTATAGCGATATTAAATTTAATGACAATTAACTAATACTTATTAAAATATATATTTATTACCGCTAAAAGTTATTTTCATTCTAACACGAGTAAACATTGTTTTATATGAAAATATTAATAATCTGCACAAATGGCTAGAATGTTTGTTATGGATTCATCCTATCGAATAAATTATTGACTCAATCTTTTTATGTAATAAAAATTTCAATAATAAATTTGTAATTCAATGACAAGCTGTAATAAAATCTGAAATTAAATATAAACCATAAAATTCAAATTATGAATTTGCCCCTTATTTAAACATTGGAGCTCTCCGATATAGTCATAATTATTATTACTTAGTGCTAGTAAGTTGGACAATATATGTCTCCCATAACTGATCTTTTGTATGTTTGGCAAGTTTCTATCAATTCAATCGTCAATTAATTGTGTTTGAATGGGGTATATATTTTTCAGGAATTAAATTTTAATTTTTTCATATTTAATTTATTAAAACAAAATATCTAGGGTGGAAAATAATTTTTTTTAAAGAAAATGAAAAAGAAGAAAAATTTCACAAGTAACATTTCAAGTTTATTTCTTCTCATCTCGATTTTTCAAGTTTATTTCTTCTCATCTCGATTCTGTATGTTCAATATCCTCAATCTCCGGCAACCCTTGATCATCCCACCTCGATTCCACTACCTTCGAACCCCTACTCCGTCACCATCTGGCCTATATAATGATTTACTAGATTGCATGTAAATAATTTTAGAATAATACTTTATTATTTAATTATCAAATATTAGAAAACGAGTGAGAAAATTATCTAATTTCCAACAAAATACTTTCCACAAAAAATATTTTCCTATCCTACCAAACACACTTTTAATAATTACAGTAATAGTGAAGTGGTTTAGGTCAAATCTGATCATCAAGACATACAAATTTATTTTCCGTTCGTATGTTAGCTCTTTGTACAACTTAAGAAAAAAAAATTAATGATACAGAAAATTACATAGCTAAATTCTTAATTAAATTTTATGTTGATATAATTTAGCTACCAATTAACGATAGATTATAAAAAAAAAAATTAGCTAGGAGCCTTTGTAGAAATGAATTAACTAAAGTTATTGATAAATGTAATAACTAATTTCAAAACATAGCTTGATTTTGAATTTAAGATTACCTTTAGTGATCTAATCAAATATTTGCCTAATTGGTAATAGTATTGTGCGAGTCATTTTCCTCTTTTGCAAAGGCAACATTGTACGTGTTATTCATCTTTAAATATTCTGTCACAGCAATTGAAAAAATTGTTCAAATTAAATGCGCAATACCGAAAATACACAATGAGCACAGAATTCATTTATTAAAAATAAATGTCCGAACAGCATCTCTTTTAAGAGGAGCAGTCAATCAAATATTAGGGATATGAAAAATTGAACCAGAAAATGTTATTTGATTTATTGTTATTGGTTTAACGAAATTTTAATATTTTCATAAAATAAAAAATTATTTGATTGTTGGTTTAGTTATAGTTTTGTAATATCGAATTATTGAGTAAATAGCTAATTTATTAGGAGTTTTAAGCTTAAGTAATTTATAACTTTATACCTATATTAAATAGGGAAAATTGTACATAATAGCAAACTAATAACCTAAAATAAATGGAGTAGCTAGGGTTTGATTTAATTGTGCTCCATAACAACCGTTTGCAAAAAATTGTGAGGCGCCTCTCTCCCAAATATCTCGCTCTCCACTCTCCTCCAATCTCTCGCTCGCTTCTTCACTTTTTACACAAACACAAGTGTATAAGAATTGTTTCTAATTGTATAAAGCAGAGAAAATTGTATATATACATATATTTTTGTTCCCCTCTCTCCCCTCTTTCAGATGTCGCTCGCCACTCTCCCAAATCTCGCTCGCCACCCTTGCCTTTCTCACTTATACAAACAAAAGAAAAATGTATAAATTGCATTTATATTTGTATAAAGCATGCGAAAATTGTATATACACATGCAAGTATATATATTTTTGTCCTATACACTTATAATTATACAATAAAATACTCCCCTGCCCAGTTTCTTTTGTCTTTCTCTCTTTCTCGTTTTATACAATTTTCAAATTGTATCTAATTTCTCTCTTTCTCGTTTTAAACAATTTGATTCAATTGTATATTCATTGTCAAGTCTCTTTTGTCTTTCTCTCTTTCTCATTTTATACAAATTCAAATTGTATATAATCTTTCTATACACTTATAATAATACAATTTGTTTTATACATTTCGTTTTTATACAATTTTCTGCCCAAGTATCTTTCTCTTTTTTGTTTTATACACTTCGTTTTATACAATTTGCTTCAACTGTATATGTATAGCGAATTATATGTTTGCTATGAAGCGCAATTATGTAAAGTTTGCTATAGCATACAAATATAAATTTTTTATTTGTTATGTGTGAAAGTTGCCCTATTAAATATAACCTCAATACTTTATGTATTTTCTTTTTAAAACCTTCCATTCACGTTATACAAATCATCATAACCTTGTTAATTTATCTTTGTGTTGCGCTTATATAATTTTCTCATGTTAACTATTATTATTTCTATTTTATAACGTTATATTACTATTTTATCACATTAAATTATAAGAAAAATCGTATATTTAATTTATAAACATTTTTTATTTATTAAATCAAAATCAATAAATTGAAAATTAACAAAAGAATATCTTGTTATTTTAAGATATATAAAACCGAACCGATTGGAAATATATTTTTCGAAAAGACGACAAATAAGGGATAAAACGATAGTATTTAATTTTAAATTTGTTAGCAAAATGGAAAATAGGAGGTTAGAGTTAAAGCTAAAGAGTCCAAAATAGGGGTTTCAACGTGGCATTCAACAAAGCATTCCAAGTTTAGATCATTCGCTACGCTACTCGTCCTTTCTTACTGCCCATTTTTCTCAGCTGTATGTATAAGTATTAGGGCTACCCTCACCACCCACCCTTACTCGCATCTTCTTCTCCTATTTAGCAACAAAGTTTTTTTTCTTTTTGAGATTAACCAAAATCTCTTTCTCCTCATGAGATGGTGGGTCTCAGTGTAGTACTCGAAGGTTGCAATAATAAAGATATCAATACAATAAATGCTTCTTCTACTTGGCAAATTCTTAACAAAGCTAGTATGGTATTGATGAAACCCACTTCTCCTTTTTCCACCCCAAAATCTCCCGAACCTTCTGGGTTTCTCGATTCCTGTTTCCTTTGTAAACAGAAACTCTTACCTGGAAAAGACATCTACATGTACAAGTAAGTTAACCGCTCTCTCTAACTACTTCCTAAAATTAATGGAATTTCAGATCCTGAATCTATTTGTATAATTTTACAGGGGAGAATGGGCATTTTGTAGCGTAGAGTGCAGGTGCAAGCAGATTTTTATGGATGAAGAAGAGAGTATGAAAACGAAATCTAAAGCTTCCATTAAATCGTGTACTTCTTCTTCTTCATCATCATCGTCGTCTTACCGGAGTAGGAAAACGGCGGCGAGGAACCGACCGAATGCGTTTGCATACTGAGAAAGGAGTTGGGTTGGACGAAAATTTCCAGTTTTGTCCTCGATACATTTTGTAATGACTATGGTATCCGTTTTCATTTTGAATTTTGTGAAATTATTAATATTAGTAGTACGGAAAAAAACAAAAAACTGCTGCTAGTTTTCATTTATGAGCCCCTGGGTTTTTGGTTTTGGTCCAATTTCACTAAATTGCTAAATAATTTTATTCAGAATCTTTTCTTTTTCTAGAATGGGGTTTGTAGGGACTGTCGGGATATTCTGGGTAATCTAATAAAAAATGTGGCATACCCCTTAAAGGAGTGATGGATGACTCACACTTTTTTATTTTATTACTGCATTTAATGTCATTAAATTTTATTTTGTAAATAATCTCTAGATATTGAAATGAAATTTTATCTTCGAATCGTAATCGTTTGTTTTTATTTTCAAGTATCAAACCAAAAAGGTGACAATTTGAGTGGTTAATTAATGAAGTTATGAAAGTTGAAAGAATATTTTGAGATCCTCATAGGATATGGTTGATATTTTTTTATAGAGTTCATTCATGGGTGCACGTGTGAAGGTACCATGCACTAGATAACAGTGCGATGCTCATCGCAAGTTTTTATGGAAATTTTCATGATTTGATTTAAAATTTAACGTATTGCCTTATTTTGTTGTCGTGATAGAGCATCCTCAAAGAACTAAATTCGCCATGTATTCACAATAATTTCAAGCATAATTTGTGCCAAAAGCATATCGAAATACTTTCCCCTCTATTAACAAAGATAGGAATATAATGTATGTCTATAGTTAATTAAGTAATAGGAAAGAATTATTTGAAAGGAGGAATATTAAGAGTATAATTAGTTGATAAAAGTGTTATTTTTCTAATTAACTTAAACTTTTAAACAAGATGATTATGTAAATGAAGAAGTTTTGTTGAAAATATAATTAATTAATAAATATATTTTTAAGCTTTTAAATGAAATAATTGTTATTTCATTTGAAATTAGTTGTGTAATTTTATTTTAAATTTGTTGTTGTTTCATTTGGAATTAGTTGGGTAACATTTTGAAGATTTACATGTCTAATTGGAATCCGAGGTGGATATATATTATAGGTACTTAATTTGGAAAATTGCAATCGATTGGTTATCTTTGGGCGATGCATGCATGTAGCCCTCATTTATAGTGCTATTTCACTTTTTTTTCCTTCATTCAAAAATAGGGGCATGTGTGGATCATGATTGGTTTTTCAAAGCAAATGGAAAGAGATATATAGGCCCTTCCAAATCATTTCAATAATTGGCCTTATATATTTATTTAGCAAATTAAAAAAAATAAATATTGTTTCTCATACTATTATTAAAATTAAAATGATATAATCATATTTTACTAATTAATATATCCTTAATTAAAAACATCATTTAAAAGTCTCAAGTCAATTAGAATGAAACTGTAATCTCTTTCGTTTTCTTTTGTTTGTGATGATTTTTCCTTTAATAGTAAATATTTATAAATATCTTTTGTTTCCTATTAAATTGTTTACATCTAAATGTTTAACCAGATTTGCACGTGGATAGTTACATGGACTTTTTACTGCCGAGTGCTGACTTTTAATTACTTGCCTTAAAAAAACTTAAAGAGGAGAAGACATATAGAATAATCTTGGACAATGAAAGATACCAATTTCATGGAAAATGTCATTATTTCATCTATAAAATTCAAGAATGAGTGGTTAAATAAGTATGAGTAAAAAGAACAGAATTCCCTCTATTATTTTTATTTGGCCAAACGATCGACTAAACTTCTCCTATACATTATAATGTGTATAGTATAGTCGCCCACTTACCTTCCCTTAAATAAATGACATATTAATTTCATGTCACATAAATTAATTAATACTAACATACTATAATTATATTTATTAAGTATTTTTAAAAAAATTATTAAGTAAAAATATTAAATAAGTAGGTTATATAATAATCTTTCAACTCCACAACCATACAAAACCTAAGTCGTGACATCACTCATCTTGCCAGCGTGATCACCTATACTCTCTCCCTCATCATCTCCATTTCTACCGCACACCTCATCATTTTCCTTTCTTCCTTTTCCAACTTCACAAAATCAACAACCCTAATAAGCTGTCACACAATTAGCTCCAGTCGGCAAACCTTTTTGTTGCCGGCGAATAAATTTATGTGTTACTTTATTTTTTATTTATGATAAAAAGTATATATTTATAATTATTATTTTATTCTCTTCAACCCCACTCTCTCCACTAATACTCACGTTACTTTAATCTTTTTAGCTTCTTTTACACTCTCTTCTTTAAATTTTTGTTAAGTTAGAGTAATATTCTGTCAAATATTAATTAATAGTTGAAAAAGTGTTCAACAAAGTGAATTGTAAATTCTTTTTCCATTACTTCTTAAATTTTGAAGCATTACAACAACACAATAAAATGTGGGATAACCAAATTATACTTACTTAAAATTTGTCAACTTATTACTTGTAGAACTACATTAACAATTCATATAATGATTGCTCGAGTAAAATAAAAATTTTTAACGTTGAATTGATAAAATCTTATTTAAAACTAGTAATTGAAAAATAAATTAAATAAGCATATATATATATATATATATATATATATATATTAAGAAATACTTTGCATTTAAAAATGTAAGAAAAATAATTTTTAACTAAATGCATAGATTTTAGGCCTCTAATTAAGATTTCATTTTGGGCCTCTGATTACATTGAGCTGCTCCTGCCAGCATGCAACCAGCGAACCTTCTCGCCGCCTTCGTTCTGACGAAAAGGACCAATGTCGTTTCTCTCTCACTCCAGTAAAAATAAGTGGACTTCGATGAGCACTACCATGAAACTAGAATTGCTATTTCCCTCACTGATAATAGTCATGACGTCAAAGAGGTGTTGATGACAAGGTCTACTAATTACACTACAAAAAAACTATATTTAGCGACGAATTTTTGTTACAAACATATTTCACGTCGTCGCTATATAGCAACGATTAACTATCAATTTACAATCTTTTTGTTGCCAAAAAAGTATTTGGCATATAATATTATGACAGATTAGCGATAGAATGTTTAGGTCATTGCTAAATTTTTGGCGCTCCTTTTTAGGTACAATATTAACGACAAGTGATGGTGGCAAAATTTAGAGGTTTTAACCAAACTAAGTCATTATATAAAGTCATTCACCAAAATAATATGTTTTTCTAAAATTTTACAAAACTAGTATAAACGTATTCCACAGTAACGTTTTAGGATATATTTTATTTTTTAAAAGTTGATGGCGTCAGATTGATATACGTTACTCACAGTAACGTTTTACACTAACGTTTTAAGAGTAAAACGTTACTGAAAATAACGTTTTAGGAGTAAAATGTTACTTATAGTAACGTATATCAGCTTAATGCTGTTAGTTGTTTTTTTTAAAAATATATCCAAAAACGTTACCGTGAAATACGTTTATACTAGTTTTGTAAAATTTTAGAAAAATGTATTACTTTGGTAAATTATTTTATATAATGACTTAGTTTGGTTAAAACCTCCAAAATTTATTAGCGACAAAATAGTTATATTTCACTCATTAAAATATTTAAGATTAAAATTGCTACAAAAAAGATTGTCGCTAAATTAATATCTACTGTCAGATGTGTTTGGTCGCTAAATCAATAGCTAACATAATTTTATTTAGGGCATAATAAGGAGAAACAATAAAATATATGTCATTCTCATATTTTTATTCTAAGGTTTTCTCCCACATCTGTGGCAGCTCGTCTTCTTCGGGAGCTCTCCCCAAACGACAACTCACCTTATCTGACAGCTCTCCCTCTATGGCAGGTTGTTTTCTCTGGAAGCTCGCCCTCTGTAGCAACTTGTATTCACTAGCACCTCGCCCATCTCCAGTCGCTCGTCCTCTACGTTATTGTCCTTGCTTTATGGAGTTGGAAAGAATGTATATTTTCTTGCATTTTTAATTAGTTTTCGATTTTTTCTATTTAATTTTATTAGACAAGGCTTGAATAGAAACAAGGGCTGATAATTTTTTTTTGTTATATTTTCTTGTCTGTTTCTTTGAGTTAATATGTAATTGTTGGAATTCTACCCTCCTGAATTCTTCTAAGGAATACGTACAGACAATGTGTTATTGTTTGTTTGAAACTTAACGATAATCAATTCCAACAACACTTTGTATTATTTATAAACTACAAACAATACAACGATTACAAAAAGCTCTGTAACCTAAGGAATTATAAACTCTAAATTCCTAGAGGAATTATAAAATCTAATTCCTAGCTACGAAATTATAAACTCTAATTTCAGCTACCCAAAGACACAAAAAACCCCGGTTATATATTTTCTAATGTTCTTCAAGTTCTACAACTTGTCGAACAAATCCTTCTCACAAAACTCAGATTGTAATCAAAACTCTTAATTATAATCTTACAATTTTTTCTCACAAATCTCAACACTCTCAATAAATCTCAAAACTCTCTCAAACTTCTTGATCGTGTTTTGATCTTCTCTCTAGGTAAGTGCGCAATCTTTTCTGATGCAAATAGCTCCCTATTTATAGATCAGAATTTCAATTAATCCTTATATGATTCAACTTGTATTTCTCTTCTACAAATCCTTGTTGACTTCTACTTGGACTTCATTTCTACTGCATATCAACTTCAACAAATCTTTGTTGAACTCAACTTTAGCAACTTCTCCTTAAAAATAAATAATAAGACACAATTTTCTTGTTTAATAAGAAAACATAATTTCCTTGAATAAATAAGAAAGCACAATTTCCTTATTTAAATAAGAAAACATAATTTCCTTAAATAGATTTTTGTGTTGATGAACTTGTACTAAGCAGCCACTTCAACTCCTTCTTCAACTTTAACTTTGCCGCATCTTTGCCTAAGTCTTGTTCAACACAACTTTGTCTTCACTGCCTCAATAACTCAAAATATTTTTTTACGTCAAACTCCCCTCTTTACATTCGACTTGGACATGTAAACCTGTTCAACATTTTTTCCTTAAGTAGGAAAACTGCCAGGAAAAACTTACCATAAGGTTTTCTTAAATAAGTAAGAGAACATCATCAATTTTCCTTAAATAAGTAAGAAAAACTTTGTTGAACGCCAATTCTATTTTCAACTTGGTTTTGCTGAAACATGATTCCCTTTTCAACTTGGATTTGCTTAAACATGTACTCCGTATGCAACCTTGAACTCACTGGAACATATTTGCTGGAACATGTTGAAGTTACCTTTTTAATACAAATTTGTCATCTTTCAAAATACCAAAAAGATTTAAAAA